CCACTAGGCTATAGGGCCAGTCCATACTGGTTATAAAGTGTTGACTGTAATTTTAAATACATAAGTTTGTGAAATTTTTCTAGCACTTTTAAAAATAATTTTTAAATAATTACTGGAACCAGCAGTTGGCGGAATGTCTATGTTGCTAGACTTTCATGTAGTTGACCATGATTTGAGTCCCGGACCTGGTGGCTTAAAGTCACGCTGGGCGCGTGTGTGTGCGTGCCTAAGATCCCAAGAGGAGAAGGGATTGCGGCGTGGCCATCCCCCTGGAGGGTGATTTCTCACTTTCTGTCTCTCTGTCTTTCTGGTGAGTGCACGTGCCCTATAGCATAAACCTCTAAAATAATAATAATAATAATAATAATAATAATTTTATTGGGGCTGGCAGGTGGTGTGTGGTGGTAAAGGGTGATGGACTTCAATGTGGCTGCACAGTTCGAGTCCCAGACCTGGCGGCTTGTTTTCTAACCCTCTCTCTCCCCTTCCTCCCTCTCTGGTCAAATTAAAGTAAGTAAAATGAATAAATAAAGATACATAAATAAAGTAAATTATTTTATTTAACTTCACTTGTTCATTCATTTATTAACTTATTTTAGTTTAAAATAAATAAAATGAATAAAATACATTATTTTAACTTTATTTATTTATTCATTCATTTATTTACTTATTTATTTTAATTTGACCAGAGAGGGACAGAGTGAGAGAAAGAGAGTGAGAATGCAAGCTGCCAGGCCCAGGACTCGAACTGCAGTCAGCCACGTGGGAGTTCAGTGTTCTTAACCACCAGCCACTTGCCAGCCCCTATTTTTTTTTAAATTATAAAAAATGCCAGCTTGGGGGACCAGCAGTTAGCATAATGGCTATGTCACTGGACTCCCATATAGTTGACTGCGGCTCGAGTCCCGGACTTGATGGCTTAAAACTCATGCCAGGCGCCTGTGCATGTGTGCCCAAGATCCTGAGAGGAGAATGGAGGAGAAAGGATTGCGGTGTGGCCATCCCCCCTGGGGGGGTGATTTCTCGCTTTCTGTCTGGTTAGCGTACATGCCCTATAGCAAAAGCCTCCCCCCCCCGCCAAAAAATAAACAAACAAAAAAAACTCCGCTTGCTTTCTCACTTTCCCTCTCTCCCTTTCTCTGTGTCTCTCTCTGGTCAAATTAAAATAAATGAATGGATAAATAAAATTTTAAAAAGAATTATTTTATTTAACTTTATTTATGTATTTATGTATTTATTTATTTTTAATTTGCCCAGAAAGGGACAGAGTGCATACTCGCATGCATGCACACACACAAGAGAGAGAGGGAGAGGGAGAGAGAAAGTGAGAAAGCAAGTTGCCAGGTCTGAACTTGAGCCATGGTCGGTCATGTGGGAGTCTGGCGCCCTTAACCACCATGCCACCTGCCAGCTCCTGTGAGTAATTTAAAAAGTAGACAATTCTGGGGGCCAGCCAGTGGCATAGTGGTTAAGATGGCTGGATTCCACATGACCAACTGCATAGTTAAAGTTCTGGACACAGCAGTGTGAAAAATACACTGGGTACACATATACCTATGTGCCCAAAATCCCAAAAGAAGAAGTGGAGAATGGATTACAATGTGAACATAAGGAATGTTTTCTCATTATCTCCAGTGAACACGTGCACCCCCTGGCAAAATTTTTTTTTAAAAAATGAAGAACAATAAAGTACACAGTTTTCTTAGGTAGAAAGAGGTAGGACAAGCCAGTGGCATGGTGGTTGAGGTGGCTGGATCCCACAGAGTGGACTGTGCAGTTTGAGTCCAAGACTCAGAAGCTTCAGAAAAATGCCAGGTGCATGGGGGTGTGTATGCCCAAAATCCCAAGAGCAGAACGGAGAAGGGATTATGGCATGGCCATCCCCACTGGAGAGTGCTTTCTTACTTTCTCTCTCCCTCCTTGTCTGTGTCTCTCCAGCAAGCGCAAACTCCCTATAGCAAAACAGGAAAGATGGAAGGAAGGAAGCGACAGACGGAGGGGAGGAGGAAGAGGAAGAGGAAGGAAGGAAGGAAAGAAGAAGAAAGACATGGAGTTACAGTAAGCTCATCTGTAATTCTTCATAAGCTTCCCTCCCACTTATCTATGTCAAAACCCCTAAGAGAATGAGTACTGTTAAGCAAGTAAAGAGTATATCTACAGTGTCCTTAGGGTTGTAGGAGGAAAACTGCTAGTCTTGATGAATGAAACTCATACAATAATATTACTGAAATAAATGCTTAAGTCAAAGGATTTGTGGGAAAGAATGCTTACTAAGCAAGTCTGCAAGTTCAAAGTCACCAGTTCAGGACAATGTGCACCTATGTACTTGAGAGCTTCATCTTCTAGCTAGAAAGATTACAAAAAGAGAAAACAAAATTTAAGAGTACATTCTAAACATCATACAATAGAATGTATCAGCAATACATTCTCAATAGAGCCAACCAATTTTCATAGCAACAATGAACAATAATCATACTAAGTACATTATTAGTCTGGTTATTGATATTTTTATATTTTCCCCACATCAAATTCACTATCATCCCATCAAGGAAAACACAAAAAAGAAGTAGTCTAGTGTTTACAAATCTGATTTCTGATAAGTAAAATATATCTAACAGTATTTTGCTGAGAGATTATGAAACTAAAATAATTTTCACACTTCTATACCACCTATAAAGTTTTCCCAAAACAAACTTTTGGGAGAAAGAGCTGAGAAAGGAACTCAGTGTTTATCTGTGCTAGAAGATCACTGCCATGCTTACAGTGCTATGAACAGATGGCGGTAACTGATTATAATGATGCATTCGAATCAATATTTTCTAGGGTTCCATAAATAACCAGAAGCTCAAGCTGCTGTTTTATGGCAGTCACACACCCAAAACCCTGTTTCAACCAATGGAGCTCCTACCTCATGGTAATAAAATAAGGGCATTTATTTATTTATTTATTTGGTTATCAGGAAAGTCATGACTCATTTTTGTATAGAAAAATATGATGATCTAATAATTTTAGGTTTTTGCCATAGGGAATGTGAACTTGCCAGAGAGAGACAGAGAAGGAAAGTGAGAAATCAACCCCCAGAGGGGATGGCCATACCACAATCCCTTCTCCATTCTCCTCTCAGGACTTTGGACACATATGCATACAGGTCCAGCATGATTTTCAAGCCGCTGGGTCCTGGACTCGAACCACAGTCAGCTATGTGGGAGTCCAGCACCTTAACTAAACCACCTGCTGGCCTCAAAATAAGGGCTTTTTCCTCCTTTAGTTTTTTGTCATAAGGCATGTACACTAGCCAGAGACAATGGGAAAGTGAGAAATCACTCATAGGGGGGATGGCCACACAACAATCCCTTCTCTTTTATCTCCTGGGACTTGATTTTCAGGTCTGGGACTCGAACTGTGGTTGGCTATGTGGGAGTCCAGTGTCTTAACCACTACACCATCTGATGCAAGCTGCCAGGCCCAGGACTCGAACTGCAGTCAGCCACGTGGGAGTTCAGTGTTCTTAACCACCAGCCACTTGCCAGCCCCTATTTTTTTTTAAATTATAAAAAATGCCAGCTTGGGGGACCAGCAGTTAGCATAATGGCTATGTCACTGGACTCCCATATAGTTGACTGCGGCTCGAGTCCCGGACTTGATGGCTTAAAACTCATGCCAGGCGCCTGTGCATGTGTGCCCAAGATCCTGAGAGGAGAATGGAGGAGAAAGGATTGCGGTGTGGCCATCCCCCCTGGGGGGGTGATTTCTCGCTTTCTGTCTGGTTAGCGTACATGCCCTATAGCAAAAGCCTCCCCCCCCCGCCAAAAAATAAACAAACAAAAAAAACTCCGCTTGCTTTCTCACTTTCCCTCTCTCCCTTTCTCTGTGTCTCTCTCTGGTCAAATTAAAATAAATGAATGGATAAATAAAATTTTAAAAAGAATTATTTTATTTAACTTTATTTATGTATTTATGTATTTATTTATTTTTAATTTGCCCAGAAAGGGACAGAGTGCATACTCGCATGCATGCACACACACAAGAGAGAGAGGGAGAGGGAGAGAGAAAGTGAGAAAGCAAGTTGCCAGGTCTGAACTTGAGCCATGGTCGGTCATGTGGGAGTCTGGCGCCCTTAACCACCATGCCACCTGCCAGCTCCTGTGAGTAATTTAAAAAGTAGACAATTCTGGGGGCCAGCCAGTGGCATAGTGGTTAAGATGGCTGGATTCCACATGACCAACTGCATAGTTAAAGTTCTGGACACAGCAGTGTGAAAAATACACTGGGTACACATATACCTATGTGCCCAAAATCCCAAAAGAAGAAGTGGAGAATGGATTACAATGTGAACATAAGGAATGTTTTCTCATTATCTCCAGTGAACACGTGCACCCCCTGGCAAAATTTTTTTTTAAAAAATGAAGAACAATAAAGTACACAGTTTTCTTAGGTAGAAAGAGGTAGGACAAGCCAGTGGCATGGTGGTTGAGGTGGCTGGATCCCACAGAGTGGACTGTGCAGTTTGAGTCCAAGACTCAGAAGCTTCAGAAAAATGCCAGGTGCATGGGGGTGTGTATGCCCAAAATCCCAAGAGCAGAACGGAGAAGGGATTATGGCATGGCCATCCCCACTGGAGAGTGCTTTCTTACTTTCTCTCTCCCTCCTTGTCTGTGTCTCTCCAGCAAGCGCAAACTCCCTATAGCAAAACAGGAAAGATGGAAGGAAGGAAGCGACAGACGGAGGGGAGGAGGAAGAGGAAGAGGAAGGAAGGAAGGAAAGAAGAAGAAAGACATGGAGTTACAGTAAGCTCATCTGTAATTCTTCATAAGCTTCCCTCCCACTTATCTATGTCAAAACCCCTAAGAGAATGAGTACTGTTAAGCAAGTAAAGAGTATATCTACAGTGTCCTTAGGGTTGTAGGAGGAAAACTGCTAGTCTTGATGAATGAAACTCATACAATAATATTACTGAAATAAATGCTTAAGTCAAAGGATTTGTGGGAAAGAATGCTTACTAAGCAAGTCTGCAAGTTCAAAGTCACCAGTTCAGGACAATGTGCACCTATGTACTTGAGAGCTTCATCTTCTAGCTAGAAAGATTACAAAAAGAGAAAACAAAATTTAAGAGTACATTCTAAACATCATACAATAGAATGTATCAGCAATACATTCTCAATAGAGCCAACCAATTTTCATAGCAACAATGAACAATAATCATACTAAGTACATTATTAGTCTGGTTATTGATATTTTTATATTTTCCCCACATCAAATTCACTATCATCCCATCAAGGAAAACACAAAAAAGAAGTAGTCTAGTGTTTACAAATCTGATTTCTGATAAGTAAAATATATCTAACAGTATTTTGCTGAGAGATTATGAAACTAAAATAATTTTCACACTTCTATACCACCTATAAAGTTTTCCCAAAACAAACTTTTGGGAGAAAGAGCTGAGAAAGGAACTCAGTGTTTATCTGTGCTAGAAGATCACTGCCATGCTTACAGTGCTATGAACAGATGGCGGTAACTGATTATAATGATGCATTCGAATCAATATTTTCTAGGGTTCCATAAATAACCAGAAGCTCAAGCTGCTGTTTTATGGCAGTCACACACCCAAAACCCTGTTTCAACCAATGGAGCTCCTACCTCATGGTAATAAAATAAGGGCATTTATTTATTTATTTATTTGGTTATCAGGAAAGTCATGACTCATTTTTGTATAGAAAAATATGATGATCTAATAATTTTAGGTTTTTGCCATAGGGAATGTGAACTTGCCAGAGAGAGACAGAGAAGGAAAGTGAGAAATCAACCCCCAGAGGGGATGGCCATACCACAATCCCTTCTCCATTCTCCTCTCAGGACTTTGGACACATATGCATACAGGTCCAGCATGATTTTCAAGCCGCTGGGTCCTGGACTCGAACCACAGTCAGCTATGTGGGAGTCCAGCACCTTAACTAAACCACCTGCTGGCCTCAAAATAAGGGCTTTTTCCTCCTTTAGTTTTTTGTCATAAGGCATGTACACTAGCCAGAGACAATGGGAAAGTGAGAAATCACTCATAGGGGGGATGGCCACACAACAATCCCTTCTCTTTTATCTCCTGGGACTTGATTTTCAGGTCTGGGACTCGAACTGTGGTTGGCTATGTGGGAGTCCAGTGTCTTAACCACTACACCATCTGCTTGCCCCAGTAAGGGCATTTTTAATGGAATCCATGATATGGTGTTAGTAACTAATAAGATAGGGAGCTTAGCATCAATTTGTCAGTCACATTTAAATCCACTCTTAATCATTTTGTTCTAGGTTCTATCAATTCCTCTTTGCACTTTAAAATACTGAAATAAGTAGTTTTTACTTATAAAATATGTAGGATTTGTAATGTGACTGGTAAAAAATGAGCATGAACACTATAAAATGCAGGTTGCTGGCACATTTAAGAAAAACTCCTGATGATGACACAAGCGAAAATAGCTGAGACTGGGGCCAGCAGGTGGGATGGTGGTAGGGTGCTGGGACTCCCACATGGCTGGCTGGTTTAGGTCCTGGACCTGGCAGCTAGCTTTCTCATTTTCTTACTTTCCCTCTCTCTCTGTTTCTTTGGTCAAATTAAAAAAAAAAAATTTAAAATTACTGAGACTGCCTTCTTTGTCCAGTTTAAAGAATCAGGCAGTGACAACAATGGCAAGTTTTCTCTTCAGTACAGATTAAATCACATGAAACCCTTCTTGGCTATGGCAAATCCTCAGTATCTTACCTCTCTTCACCTTGCCTCTCTCTTCACTAAATTTCTCTTCGGTCAAATATTAATTCCTCTCCTTTTATTTTATGGAAAATACCTTAATTTTTTTGGTAAGCATGTGTGCACAATGACACATACAACTAACATTTCCCTCAACACAGAGATCTTGGGGCTGCCTACAAACAGCTTATGGTTCCTCTGACTTGCAGAAGCACTATGTGGACTCATTACCTGTGTGCAGCCTTTTAAGAATAAGGCCTTGAGACCCCCACAGCCTCTCACTAGTGCTTGAATGCCATCCTTGGTTACTTGGTCACACCAGGAAATGTTCAACTGCTCCAACAGTGGACATCCCTCACTTAGGATAAAACAAAACAAGATAAATATTTCACTATATCCAATTCTAAAGACACCAAAGTCTTACTTAATTGGCTGTTTAGGCAAGGAATAAATACAGTCCCATTCTCTCCTATAAGAATACACATATTTACTCAACATTGACTTAGAATACAGGTTTTTGCATAGCAAAACAAACAACACTGATTTATCAATGTTTGTGGTATTTACATGGGGCTGTATCACTAGCAGCATCATCTCAAATCTAGCTTAACCAAAAAGCACAATATTGCTTTTCAGATAAAGAAAGAAGGAGAGGGCACCCCTTCCTGGACAACGGTCACACTGCCATGCCTTCTGTTCCACTCCTCCTTTTAGGATTTTGGGCATGCACGCATATTACCCAAGTGTGCATTTCAAGCTGACAGGTCTAGGACTTGAACCACATGTTTGGTCATGTGGGATCCAGCTTCCTTAACCATTAGGCCACAGGCTAAGCCAAACCCATATTCTCTACCAAGTAATTCTACTAGTATCAAAATAGTAATGAATACTTTTAAAATTTTTATTTAAAAAAATTACAAAGGCTTGTAAATTTCCTTATCTAGGATAGGCTGAATTTAGGATAGGCTGAATTTAGGATATTTTGTGTTCATTTTCTGCCTTCTATCAAAATGTTAGCTTCAATTGATCCCTCTGTCTTATCAGTAGTTTAATTTTATGTTTGGACATAGAATCCCAAGCTTTCTATGATCAAGTTCCTTCTTCAACATTAACAATTTGATTTGTCAGGCAAGTCATGTTAGGAAGCTTTACTGAACCTTAGTTCAAGAGCAGTCATGCCATGTTCTCCCAAAACTGATATACTCACTCATATCATAGCACTTAATTGTACCTCAATATGATACATGTTAGCAGTTTTTTTCTAGACTGAATAGCTTAAGGACATCAACATCCTAGTTACACGTCACAGTTGTTTCATTGTACCTGGCACCTGACAATTTTAAAGATTTTTTTTAATCTATAAAATGTCCTATCTTCTTCATTTCAAATAAATGAGATTATTTATGTGAAAATACTTTATAAATGACAAATACTGTCATATTTATTATCTTAATTGGCAAAAAGTCTGATATATATAAATGCTCAATATTCCTAAGGAAGGAGTAAAAGGAGCCACATTTTTGGATTCCTTATACTGTACTTAACCAAATCTGTGTTTCTTTTTATTTTTTTTGGAGAAGTTTTTAGTATAGGGCATGTGCACTCGCCAGAAGGACAGACAAAGAGACACAGAAAGTGAGAAATCACCCCCCAGAGGGGATGGCTATGCTGCAATCCCTTCTCCATTCTCCTCTCGGGATTTTGGGCATACACACACATTTGCCCGGCATGAGTTTAAGCCACCAAGTCCAGGACCCGAACCACAGTCGACTACGTGGGAGTCCAGCGACATAGCCATTACGCTAACTGCTGGTTCCCAGTAATTACTTTTTTTTAAATTTGTCAGATGGTGTGTGCGCTAACTAGAGTTGGAAGGATAGGGAAGCCAGGAAGCACCCCCGTAGCGCATAGTCATGCTGCAATCCCTTCTCCATTTCTCTATCCTTCAAGACTTTGTGCACACATATGCACCCAGCATGTGGCCAAAACTCGAATCACATGGACAGCCATAAGGGATCTAGCTGCCTTAACCACCAAGCCACAGGTTGACCCAGGACGGTAAATATTTACAGAAGGCTGAATGAAGTTTACAAAGAGAATAGGCATTTTATTCTCCCTTTAAGAGATACCTTTTGTATCATACTTTCCTCCATTCTCCTTCAGGGACCTAGGGGATGCACATGTGCCCAGCATGAGTTTCAAGCTATTAGGTCTGGAACTCGAACCATGGTCAGTCATGTAGGAGACCAGCAATGTAACTGCTATGCCATTTGCTGTTTTGTTTATTTTTCTAAAGGTTTTTGCTATAGGGTGTGTGTGCTCGCCTGAAAGACAGAGACAGAGAAATAGAAAGCGAAAAATCACCCCGCCTCCTGGGGGGATGGCCATGCCACAATCCACTCTCCTCTTGGGATCCTGGCCATGCACGCACATGTGCCCAATGTGAATTTAAGTTACTGGGTCCAGGACTCGAACCACGGTTGACCACATGGGAATCCAGTGACATAGCCATTATGCCAACTGCTGGTCCTCTCATGTATTTTTTTTTTTTTTTGAGAGGTTTTTGCTACAGGGCGCCTGCACTTGCTAGAAAGACAGAGAGAGACAGAGACAGAAAGTGAGAAATCACCCCTCGGGGGGACGGCCACGCCATAATCCCTTCCTCTCTATTCTCCTCTTGGGATATTGGACACGTGCACACATGCGCCCGGCATGAGTTTAAGCCACCAGGTCCAGGACTCAAATCGCGGTTGACTACATGGGAGTCCAGTGACATAGCCATTATGCCAACTGCTGGTCCCCCCTCTGTAATTTTAATGAATTCGGTTGAATCACCTGAAGCTATCATTTTTAGAACAAAAAATTATCAAGTATTGGCACAACTTTATGTGGTTCAGCCTAGTATTACCTTTTTAATCCTAATTAATAATGCTATAAGATATAAGAAAAAGCTCAGCCGGATTATGTTTACTTAAGAATCTGCAAAAAATCTGACTCCAGAACCCTGTTTTAATCACTAAGCTATAATATGTGACAGTGGCTTTTCTTTTTTGAAAACAAGCCTTCAAAATATCTAATCACTCATGTATAAACTGTACTATTCTGATCTGAAATTCTACTCATCCCAAGTCATTTCACTTGAATATGTCCATAAAGCATAGATGCCTTCAATTTCTACTTTATACCAGTTATTTTTATAAAGTATGTATTTGTTCTGATTACTGGACATGCTTATTACAAGAAATTTACCTCAGCGCTTTTAGAGACATGTTTGTTATTGATGTACAGGAAGCCAAGTCAAGGTGCCTGAGCTTGGAACAGAACTTGCTAAGGCTAGCACATGTACTGAAAAATGGAAAAAGGAGAAAGTAATGAACAAGCAAAATAACACATCCTTAGTATATCATATACCATTCTTACTAAATATATGTATATACATAAAAACTGTAAAATTTCCATACCAGCCCCCCCCCCAAAAAAAAGCAGTTATAAATTCAGTATCTTTCACATTGAGGAAGACGTGGCTACCAAGAGAAAGCAGGATATAAAAGTCTTTTTGTAAACTAATCTCAAGAGAAAAAAGGTTGTGCTGTGTATGAGAATCTGCAGGAGGGGAGGATAGTGTTTGAGTCATATCTGGAAATGGTAACAGGCATTAACAACTTACTACTTATGTGGGTTCTAAGAAATCTATGTACATTTTGCAAATCTAGAACAACAGAAAGCTACTCATCTGCTAGCATGTAGTTAAACATGAAGACTGAATGCTCTGCCTCTGATCTTTTACCTAAAAATATGCTCAAGATTACATGGCAGTAATGAAAGAATTGGGAGCGTGGCAAGGTTTACCAAACAAGGACTAGTATTGGGCTGAAACAAATAAGATACGTAGTATTGCCACTTTCTTTTTCTTTATTTTTTTGAGAGGTTTTGGCTATAGGGTGTGCATGCTTGCTGGAGAGACAGAGTCAGGGAGACAGAAAAGTGAGAAATCATTCCCCAGGGGGAAGGCCACACACCATAATCCCTTCTCCATTTCCTCTTCAGGACTTTGGGCATTCATGCACGCGGCATGAAGTCTCAAGCCACTGAATCTGGAACTTGAACTATGGTTGGCCACATGGGAGTCCAGTGCCTTAACCACTATGCTATCTGCTGGTCCAACCATCCACTTTCCTTTAAGAATTTTTGTTTTATTTTTAGAGAAAGGTCTTGCTATTTTGCCCAGGCTGACCTAGAACTCTATCCTCTTGCCTCAGCCTCCCAAGTAGCTGGGATTATAAGCACGTACCACCATGCCTGGCCTTTATGAATTTTTTTTTAAAACTTATTTATTTCATTTCATTTCTTCTTCTTCTTCAGAGGTACCATCAACCGGGCAGCTTGTTTCCCTGAAAGCCAGAACCCCAAGAGAAAGCAGAGCAGGATATAGAAGTCTTTTTGTAACCTAATCTCAAAAGTGATAATCCAATGTCTTTTATAGTATTCTATTGTTAGAAATGAGTCACCAGATCCAGCTAACTCTCAAGGGAAAATGATTATACAAGCAGGTAGGGATAACCTGGGGACCATTTTGGAGGCTGCCTATCATACTGAAATGACTAAATGCTTATTGTCCTTTATTCCAGCAATCAAGTAGTTTCTATAGAGTACATGGGCTACAAAGTCCAAAGTATTTACTTATTTGGCCTGATGTAGTAAGAGTTTACTGACTTTTTTTTTGGAGAGGTTTTTCACTATAGGGCGCGTGTGCTCGCCAGACAGAGAGAGACAGAGAGACAGAAAGCAAGAAATCACCCCCCATGGGGGATGGTCACGCTGCAATCCCTTCTCCTCCATTCTCCTCTCGGGATCTTGGGCACGCACACACACACACACCCAGCGTGAGTTTTAAGCCACCGGGTCCGGGATGTGAACCGTGGTCGACTACGTGGGAGTCCAGCGACATAGCCATTACGCTAACTGCTGGTTCCCCTGACTCTTGTTTTACTTTACCATGTATTTTATTACTGGGTTATTACATGAATTGATTTTCAGATATTAAATAGACCTTGTATTTCTGGGGTAAGTCCCACCTGGTTATGATCTAAAACCCTTATATACGCTATTAGAATTAGTCTACTAAAATTTTGTTAATTATTTTTATTATTTTATTTTATTATTTTTATTATTTCTGTTCCTGAGATATATCTCAGACATATAACAAAAACAGTTAGCAAATCTGATCTGTTGATTTCCTTTTATTGTGTTACTTGGTATCAGGGTAATACTGGCCTCACAGAATGAGTCAGGAAATGCCTTCTCCTTTATTCTTTTTTTTTTTTTTAAAGAATTATTTAGTTTTAATTTTATTTATTCATTTACTTATTTTATTTTGACCAGAGAGAGACACAGAGAGAGAGAAAGTGAGAAAGCAAGCCACCAGGTCCAGGACTTGAACCATGGTCAGCCATGTGGGAATGTCCAGCACCTTAACCACCACGCCACCTGCTGGTCCCCTCCTCCTCTATTTTCTCAATAAATTTGTTGAAGATTAATGCTATTTCTTCTTTAAATATTTGATGAAATTCACCAGTGAAACCATCTGGGCCTGGGTTTTTCTCTGCAGGATGATTTTAAATTACTCACTGAACTTGCTTGTCATAGGTGTGTTCAGGTTGTTTTATTTTTCTAGAGACAAACTTGATAATTTATGCCTTCCCAGGAATGTGTTCAATTCATCTAAGTTGTTTAATTTGTTAATACATAGTCAGCATATTCTGTTATAATCCTTTTAATCTCTGTCCGTTTGTTTAGTGTTTAGTCCTCTTTCATTTCTAATTTTGGTGATTTGTTTCTTCTTTCTTAATAGTCTAAATTATTTAATTTTGATGATTTTTTTCAAGAACTAACTTTTGGTTTCATTGATTTTATTACTCTTTGTCTATTTCCCATTTCACTGATGCACTCTAATCTTCCAGTTTATTTGCTCTTTTTTATTCTAACTTCTTAACATTTAATCTTATGTTACTGATTTGAGACCTTTCTTTTCTGATGTGGGCATTCAGAGCTACATCACTGCTTCAGCTACATATTGTACATCTTTCTTTTTCTGAATTTGCTATAGGGCATGTGCACTTGCTAGCAGGCAGGGGGGAAAGAAAGAGAGAGAATGCACTCCCAGGGGAGATGGTCACACAGCATTCCCTTCTTCACTCTCTTCTAGGGATTTTAGACACATATGCTTACTGTGATTTTTCAGGCAGCTGGGTCCAGAATCTGAACCAAGCAGCCAGCCATGTGGGATCCAGATGCTATAACCTCCATGCCACCTGCTGGTCCCCACTATCTATTTCAGAATGTTCTCATAAAACACAGAAACTTTGCTCCAAGGGAACCAGCAGTTAGCGTAATGGCTATGGCGCTGGACTCCCACATAGTCGACCGCGGTTCACGTCCCGGACCCAGTGGCTTAAAACTCACGCCAGGCACGTGTGCGTGCGTGCCCAAGATCCCGAGAGGAGAATGGAGGAGAAGGGATTGCAGCGTGACCATCCCCCCCCGGGGGGTGATTTCTCGCCTTTCTGTCTCTCTGTCTGTCTCTGTCTGGCAAGCGCACGTGCCCTATAGTCAAAAACCTCTCCAAAAAAAAAAAGAAACTTTGCTCCAATAACACTTTTTCCTTCACCTTCCTTTGTGCTATTATTTTTACTTTTAAATATACTTTATATATAATCAAATATATTTCGTATATTACTTCTATGTTTTATAAACTCAATAATATAGCATTATAATTATTGCTTTATACAATTCTGTATCTTTTTTTTTTTTTTTAAGAGAGGTTTTTGCTATAGGGTGTATGCACTTGCAGGAAAATGTGAGGGACAGAGAGACAGAAAGCGAGAAATCACCCTCCAGGGGAATGGCCAGGCTACAATCCCTTCTCCTTCATTTTCTTCTCAGGATCTTTGGCATGCATGCACACACAACCGGCATGAGTTTAAGCCACCAGGTCCAGAACTAGAACCATGATCGAATATGTGGAAGTCCAGCAACATAAGTATTACACCATCTGCTGGTCCCCAATTCTGTATTTTTTTTTTTTTGAATAATTATTTAATTAAATTAATTAATTTAATTTGACTAGAGAGAGACAGAATGAGAGAGAGGGGGAAAGTGAGAAAGCCAGCCACCAGGTCCTAGACTGGAACCGTAATCAGCCATGTGGGAGTCCAGCACCCTTAACCACCACGCCATCTGCTGGCCCCTCCCCCATCACCTTAACTTTATCATTCCATTGCCTCCACTGATCCTGATGAGAAATCACTTATTAATCTTGTACATTTTGACTTGTTTTCCTCTAGCTCTCAAATTTTTCTGTTTCTAGCTCTCAAAAGTGTGTCTAATTTATGGACATTTTTACGTTTAGGTATTCGTTGAGCTTCTTCGATCTTTGATGTTTTCATCAAATCTGAGAAGTTTTCAGCTATTATTTAATTTATTTTTCTGCCCCTTTCTTTCTGTTCTTTGGGATTTCCATTATGGGTGCATCCCATATGTTTCTGAGATCCTGTCCAGTTTTCTTTTATCTTTTATTTTTCTGTTCTTCAAACTGGATAATCCCTACAGGTTTATCCTCTCTACTATCTCTAATCTGCTAATGACACTACTGGTGGATTTTTCAATTGTATTTCCAAATTTGGAATGTCCATTTGGCTTGTTTTGTATAATCTGTATTGATAGTCTCTATTTAACAAGTTGTTGTCATTATACTTTAGTTTTTTTTTTTTTATCTGGTTTCCTTTAGTTCTTCAAATATATCTATAATAGCTGCTCTGAAATCGTTATCTGCTAAGTCTACCATCTACCCTTTCCTTATCTAGAGTTTTTATTGAGTATCATTTTCCTTACCATGGGTCACACTTTTATGTTTCTTTGCATGACACCATGTTTCTGTTGAACACCAGACATAAATAATACTACAACAACTCTGAATTCTATTTTTCTCCTGAGGAAATTTCACTATTTTGTTGCTGTTTGTTTAGAAATTGCCTAGCTCAAACTTTTCCCCACAACACGCAACAGTTGATGTTTGTGCTTGGTATCTTTCTCATTTATTTTTATTTTTATTTTTTAATTTGCCAGCAAGGCATGTGCATTTGCTGGACGAGGACAGAGAGGGAAAATGAGAAAGTATTCCCCATGGGGAATGTCAACGTCATAATCCCTTTTCCTCCATTTTTCCCTCAGTGAGATTTTAGGAATGCATGCGCACGCAATCACTGTGTTTTTTCAAGTCGCTGGGTCTGGGACTCAAACTGTAGTTAGCCATATGGGATCCAGTCACTTTTTTGGGGGGCGGGGGGGAGAGGATTTTGCTATAGGGCATGTGTGTTCGCCAGAAAGAGACAGAGAGACAGAAAGCGAGAAATCACCCCCTGGGGGGATGGCCAAGCCGCAATCCCTTCTCCTCTATTCTCTTCTTGGGTTCTTGAGCATGTACGCGCATGTGCTGGTGTGAGTTTAAGTCACCGAGTCCGGGACTTGAACCATGGTTGACTACATGGGAGTCCAGCGACATAGCCATTACACCAACTGTTGGTCCTGGGATCCAGTCACTTTAACCATCACACCACTGGCTGGTCAATTTTCAAAAAAAATTTTAAGCCTTGCTTCCTAGGAGTCAACCATAAGTCTTTACAGTACAGTGGTCAGCCTAAGTAAGACTTCTATTCTTTCCTAATGATTCTGTATATGGGCTGGAGAAGACAAAGTTCAAGTTCTTTTCAATTCTGCTCTGGCTTTTACTTCATTGCCAGGCTTTTTTTTTTTTTTTTTTTTAATGTTTCTTCTGTGCATGTATACAAGTTCTGTTGGCCATAAGCATGTGGTTAGCTTGTGCCCATTATCTTTGCCCCTCATGGGCATAGTCTCTAGTCAACACAGGACATGTGGTTCATAAAGCACCCCATGCTGACTCATTCTCCTAGAACTTATTAAATCCTGGGCTTCTCTGGTCCACAACCTCAGGCTAACAGAGCCAATGGGCTTCTCCTTACAGTCGCTTTAACTGACAATGGTCCAAATCAACTGAGCCTGCTCTGGCAGCGGCACCAAAGCTGATGGTTTTCACAGTCTGCCCTGCTCTGATGACTGCTCAAAGCTCTGGGAGATTGGAATAGTTCCAGGCCAGACACGTGTGTATGTGTACATGTTCAAGATCCCAAGAGGAGAATGGAGAAGGGACCATTAAGCCACCAGGTCTGGGACTTGAACCACAGTCAACTATGTGGGAGTCCAGCAATGTAACCATTATGCCATCTGCTGACCCCAGTTTTGTCCACTTTTATAGCTGCTTTTTGTGAGAGGATTTGCTGTCATCTTCATTCCAATGTGCAAAAATTTCCCACTGACTGCTGTTCTTTTAAGCCACTAAAAGTTTTGGGGTGCTCATAGATAGTTGAAACATAATGTATATTACTTTTTAAAAAAAGAATTATTTTTTATTTAATTTTGTTCATTGTCATTATTTTATATTTTTAATTTTTTTGAAGTTGACCAGAGAGATACAGTGAGAGAGAAGGAAAATGAGAAACTAAGGTGCCAGGTCCAGGACTCGAATTGCTGTCAGTCATGTGGGAGTCCAGCTGCCTTAACCACCACGTCACCTGCTAGCCCCTGTATATTCTTTTAAAATTAGCTTTATTTGAGATACATACATATATATATGTATGTGTGTGTGTGTGTGTGTGTGTGTATGTATTTGAGAGGTTTTGGCTATAGGGTGTGTGCACTCACCAGAAAGACAGAGAGACAGAGACACAGAAAGCGAGAAATACCCCCCCGGGGGGGATGGCCATGCCGTAATCTCTTCTCCTCCATTCACCTCTCAGGATCTTGGACACGTGCACACACACACATGCCTGACGTGAGTTTAGCCACCGGGTCTGCAACTCGAATTGTGGTTGACTAAATGGGAGTCCAGTGACATAGCCATTATGTTAACAGCTGGTCCCTATTTGAGATATATTTCGTTTTATTTATTTTTTTATTATTTTATTCAATTTCATTTATTCATTCCTTCATTTATTTTCATTTGACCAGAGAGACACACACACACACACACACAGAGAGAGAGAGAGAGAGAGGAAAGTGAGAAAGCAAGCCACCAGGTCTGGGACTCGAACCATGGTTGGCCATGTGCGAGTGTCCAGTGTCTTCACCACCACGCCACTTGCTGGTCCCTGAGATATACTTTAAATACACTAAAATGTACTCATTTTAAGTGTACAATTCAGTAAGTTTTCTTAAAGAATTATTTTATTTAACTTTTTAGTTACTGATTGATTTATACATAAATAATTTGACCAGAGAGGGTCAGAGTGTGTGAGGGGAAGAGAGAGAGACAGGGAGGGAAGGAAAGTGAGAAAGCAAGTTGCCAGGACTGGGACTTGGACTATGGTCAGCCATGTCAGAGTCCAGTGCCCTTAACCACCATGCCACCTGCTGGCCCCTCAGTAAGTTTTTTTTGGAGAGGTTTTTGCTATAGGGCGTGTGCACTCGCCAGACAGACAGAGACAGAGAGACAGAAAGCGAGAAATCACCCCCGAGGGGGATGGCCATGCCGCAATCCCTTCTCCTCCATTCTCCTCTTGGGATCCTGGGCACGCATGCACATGTGTCTGGAGTGAGGTTTAAGCCACCTGGTCTGGGACTCGAACCACAGGACTACATGGGAGTCCAGCGACATAGCCATTACGTTAACTGCTGGTCCCAACCCCTCAGTAAGTTTTGAAAAGCATTTATCCCAGTATAACTATCATTCCACTCAAAAAGCTGTACTTGTGCTAAGCAACACCTTAGCTGCATTTTGCAAATTTCATAGAATATTTCCATAAACCTCCCAACTTTCCCCATGCTGTATGCCTCTGCAGTCAGTCTCCCCTCTTCCTTCTGTCTCAGTCTACCACTCATCCGCTTTCTTATCACTACAGTTTTCTTGTTATAGATTTCCAGATAAATGGAATTATACACTATTCTTCTCTAACTGGCCTCTGGCATATAGCATAATGTTTTTGAGATTCACTTATATTTTTACAGATCTTACTCTGGTTTTTCCCGTACTCAATATCATATTACATGAACCGATACTGAGCCATATGGTTTCCAGCACTGAAGTTCAGCATGCTTCCCCTGTGTAGCCAAGGCTTCCCTCAGATATTTAAAGATTAAGGGCTGGGACCATAGATGATGTAATGGCTACATCACTGGACTCCCACGTAGTCAACCACAGTTAAGAGTTCCAGACCTAGCAGCTTAAAACTCAAGCCAGGTGCATGTGTGTGCCTAAAATCCCAAGAGGAGAACAGAGGAGAAGGGACTGCACCATGGCCATTCCCCTGGGGGCGAAAGGTAGGATTCCAAAATAAGTTTCTTATTCTGTTTCTACTTTCGTGTTTTGCTCTACTTTTAAAGTATCTTTCCTCTGCAAAACCAAGATGAAATTTGCTAAATGTATATACAGGTCTGCATTTAAAACTAGTATAGGCCAGATATAAGGGGCTATGACTTACCCTTCTCTAAAATAATACAATACTTACGCATCTGTAGTCTTTGTACAGCCATTTAAATTCAGTACTTCAATGTTCCTACAGTTCTGTGCAAAAGTCCTTAATAGGAAAAAGCAAAGTAAAAGGTTTCAAAAGAAATGGGCAAAAGTCTAGGTAAAAAAATTATATTATTATTAGTAATACTGGTTGCTGGTACCTAAGATAATGTAATGTGATATAATAAAAAATATATATTTGTGGGACCAGCAGTAATGGCTATGTTGCTGAACTCCCATGTAATTGACCGTGGTTTGAGTCCCAGACCCGGTGGCTTAAACTCACGCTGGGCACGGGTGTGTGCGTGCCCAGGATCCCGAGAGGAGAATGGAGGAGAAGGGATTGCGGCATGGCCATTCCCCTTGGGGGGTGATTTCTCGCTTTCCATCTCTCTGTCTCTCTGTCTTTCTGGTGAGCGTGCATGCCCTATAGCAAAAACCTCTCCAAAAAAATTGGTCTTCGTCCCAAGTTCCTGGCAAAAAGTTCCTAAAACTCTTGTAATTTTCTGGTAAACAGGAGTACCTTTTGTGATAATATTTGGTCTTCAGTCATGCTTATGTAATGAAAGCTCTATAAAACTCCCTAAATGATGGAGATCAGAAAGCCTCTAGACCTTGCCCTATTTACTTCTTAACCTTGCTGTTCCATTTACATCCTCTATAATATTCTTAATAATAATCTATTAATAGTAAATTTAACGGTTTCCTGAGTTCTGTGAGCCATTTTAGCAAATTCTCGAACCTGAATAGGGGATTATAGTAAACTCTGATTTACAGTCCTCTGATTGGAAGTACAATGCAATATGGAGTATGCAACCAGCATTTGAAGAAGGGCAGTCTCACAGAACCAAGAAGGGGCAGTCCTATAGGAATAAGCCCTTAGCTGTGAGGTCTGAGCTAACTCTGGGTAGTTAATCTCAGAACTGAAATGAATTGTAGGACATCCAACTGGTGTCAAGAGAATCAGAAAACTGGTTGTTGAGTGGGGGGAAAAAAAACCCCATATATTTGGTGTTCAGGAGTGTTGTGGATAAGAATAGTTCAGTAGTACTAAGTAGTTCACAATGATAAAAGAAGTTTCAACCATAAATTTCTAAACTATAAACTCTTTTTTTTGAAAGATTTATTTAATTTTATTTATTGTTATCATTATCATTATTATTACTATTATTATTTAATCTGCTGTAAGGGCACTTGCACTCACCAGAGACCAAGAGAGAGAGAGAGAGAAAGCAAGACATAGGTTCAGGACTGGAACTACAGTCAGCCATGTGGGAGTCTAGCACCTTGACCACCATGCCAACTGCTCATCCCTAAACCATAAACTCTTAAACACTGATCTCTGTGTCAAAGTTAAAATTATCCTTTGAGTAAACAAAAGTTTAAAACAACAACAAACCCTCAAGGCTCCAAAGGAAGTATTTTTGATAGGAAATCTGGCTTTTTGGGGGGATAAATACTTGTTCTTGCTTATTCCTAGAACCATATGCCCTACTATAGGATATTTTTTGTGTTATATGTAATGTATAAACAATTCCACTTTTTTCAAATAATCTTATTTAATTATTTATTTAATTTGACCAGAGAGAGACAGAGTGAGAGAGAGAAAGGGAGAAAGCAAGCTGTCAGGTCCAGAACTTGAACTACAGTTGGGCATGTGGGATTCCAGCACCCTTAATCACCACGCCACCTGCCAGCCCCTACAATTCCATCTTTTAAAAAAAATATTTATTTATTTATTTAATTCCATTTGTTGTTGTTATTACTATTTTTTAACTTGACCAGAGAGAGAAAGAATGGCAAAGTGAGAAAGCAAGCCACCAGGTACAGGACTCGAACCATGGTTGGCCATGTGGGAACTGAACGCCTCTAACCACCACGCCAACTGCCGGCCCCTACAGTTCCATTTTTAATAGCTAAGGAATTTAAAAACTATTTTAGCCTTGTATAGGTGAGATGGCACTACTCTTTACTTCAAGAAGATTAATCAACAATTATGTTTTTACCTTAATGCATTGTCTCCTACTCCAAGACACCCACGAAGACTTAATTTTCGTAAAAATCCCCCACATCGTTTTGAAATATTCTCCACTACTCGGCCCTGTAAAACCAGACAGGTAAACAAAAAGATAACCAACGTTATTGCTCTGGAAAAGAAAACCACCTAGTTTTTAACAATTTACAAAGAGAAAAATCTTCTATTTGTTTTAAAGAACTAATTGATTTAATAAGAAAATTTCAAGTAACTTACTCTGAGTAAGCTTTTTTGATTAACTCTGCTACTTCAAACATGCCTGAACTCTATGGTCTTATTGTGTTCAACTTGTAGGCTATTCTATATTGAGGAAATGGTGTTCTACAGTTAGTTCTCTATGGCACTGTATTCACGAATATCACCCATCTGGGTTAAGCCACAGTAATGGGAGGAAAACAACTATCTGTTTTTACTTTTGTAACCTTTCCAAAGTGTTCACTGTAGTCCTGTGCATGTACCAGGGATACAACAAACACTTAACGAAAGCTTGTTAAAAGATTTTTGTGGGTTGTGTTGTTTTAAACATTTATATCAACTGAGGACTGTGAAAAACAAAAATCAGTTTTGTGTTTTTCTTTTTTTAAAAGTGTGCCAGAGGGCATATACACTCACTAGGGAGAGACAGACAGAGAAAGTGAGAAATCACCCCTTATAAGGAATGGTTATGCCACAATCCCTTCCCTTCCATTTTTCCTTCCTTTCATGATTTTGGGAATGCACACGTATGTGCCCACCATGTTTTTCAACCATGGATCTAAGACTGGAACCACATAGGTGGCCATGTGGAATCCAGTGCTTTAACCACTACACTGTCAGCTGGTCTGCCAGCATCATTATAAAAGCACTTTCTGAAGATAATAGAGAGTTTAAGTGAGAGGTTGATTTTTTGGTTACTGTTACTACAGGATGCATGTGCTCATCAGAGAGACAAAGAGAGAGGGGGTTCAGAAGAGAAAGTCCCCCTGCCCCCTAGTGAAGAGTTGTCACATTGCAATCCTTTTTCCTCTCTCTCCCTCCTTCTGGGATTTTTGGGCATGCACCTAGCATGCTTCTTCTTCTTCTTTTTTTTTTTTTTTTGAGAGGTTTTCGCTATAGGGCGTGTGCGCTCGCCAGAGAGACAGAGACAGACATAGAGACAGAAAACGAGAAATCACCCCCCAGAGGGGATGGTCACGCCGCAATCCCTTCTCCTCTCGGGATCCTGGGCACGCATGCACATGCACCCAGCATGAGTTTTAAGCCACCGGGTCTGGGACCTGAACTGCGGTTGACAACGTGGGAGTCCAGCGACATAGCCATTACGCTAACTGCTGGTTCCCAACCTAGCATGCTTCTTAAACTGCTGGGTCCAAGGCTCAAACTACACACCAGGCCATGCTGGACGCTGCTGCCTTAGCCACCTAGCCATGGAGCCAACCCTAGGTAAGAAGTTTTCTAAAAACTTCTTTCATGGGCCCTCAAGTGAATTTATTTCTATTAGAACTAAAAAACAAAATCAAACAAATAAACAAACTCATTTAATACTTATAATACTAAGAGGAAGCTATTATTCCAATTTCCTGGGGAGAAAACTAAGTGCCATAGAGTTCAAATTCAGGTCTTCATGTGTGAGACAGACTATAATGTGGGGGAGAACTATGAAGGAAAAAATTTTTCCTTGGCAAAAACAATGTAATAAATGACTTTGCCTTTATTAGTTTTTTTATTCTCCATAAGAACTATCTATAGGCTCCCCAAGAACCAAAATGTGTACCTTAAGAAGAATGTACGTAAATACTTCTCAACAAGTTGTACCTCTTTGTTTTTCAGTGAACAAATATAAAATGATTTCATTCAAATGAGCAAACACAGGTTCACATTTCTACTGCAAAAACAAACCACTTTTTTTCTACTTTGCTATAGGGCCCATGTGCTCATCCGAAAGAGAAAGAGAAGTGAGGGGGAAGTGGTCATCACCCCAGGGGGATGACCATACCACAATCCCTTCTCCTCCATTCTCCTCTAAGGATTTTGGACATGCACACGTGTGCCTAGAATGTTTCTCAAGTTACTGGGTCCAGGACACAGGACTGGTAGCCATGTGGGATCCAACCACCTTAATCATGACACCAATGGCTGGTCCAAAACAAAAAACTTTTAGTCCTATTAATACTACATAATTTCAGTAAATATTTCAGTAAAATAATTCAGCTCATTCTTGAAAACTGAGGAAATTCTTGGGAACTTTGGAAGATTCCATGAAGTTCAGATGCACTGAAAATAATAGTTTTTCTTTCCACAGAAAATGAGATTTGTATGTCTGGGGCTAATATATTCTATGCTGTAATTACTAAGAGAAAAGGGGCCACACACCACATTATAATACCTCAATATCCCTCTGGAAATCAAATAGGTCTATTCGCTGCCAGTTACTGCCATCCAGAGCCAGAACATTCCAAGCCTATTTTGAAGAAAAAGAAACAGAATGAACACAAAACAAAATGAGGGGGAAATGCCAGCGATATTCAAATTTAATTCAACCAACTAATGATTAAAATGGACCAAAAAATTTCTCAGCTACTGCTAACCCCCAAATCATACACATTTTTGATCCAGACTTGATTCTCTAATTAGATCTTCTCATAAATTAGTAGGTACAAACATTATTAGCAACTACAAAATATCTTAAATTAGGGAAGCTAGAGAAAGGACAGGCTGTGATAAGTATCACAGTCAAAAGATTTTTCTAATTGGAAGATGCTAGTTTGTAATCCCAAAACGAGAGAGAAGCCCTTACACAATGAGAGAGAATCTCACTGTGTTGCAATCCTCCTGCTATGATCTTCTAAGCAGCTAGGGGCCACAGCACTTCCTACCAAGAGTGACTCTTTCAGATAGGGTCTCGCTCTGTTATTCTAGACAGTGTTGAATTCCTGCCTCAACCTCCCTGAGTGGCTGGGATTACGGGCACAAACAACCATGTTCTGCCTGTGGATTGGACAGAAAATTGAACCCTGGCTTCCCATGTGGCCTCACCCTATGGAATACAGTCTTAGAACTGCATGCTACCAGGACCAGCAGATGGTTCAGTGGTTACGTTGCTGGATTCCCATGTAGTCGACCGCGGATTGAGTCTCGGATCTGGTGGCTTGAAACTCAGGCCAGGTGCACTGCTTGCGTGCCCAAAATCCCGACAGGAAAATGGAGAAGGGACTGCGGTGTGGCCATCCCCACTGGGGGGTGATTTCTCGCTTTCTGTTTCTTTGTCTCTCTGTCTTTCTAGCAGGCGCATGTGCCCTATAGCAAAAATCTCTAAAAAAAAGAAAAGAATTGCATGCTACCATGGCCTGGGTAATTGTCATTTTAATTTTTTTTTTTTTTTTAAAGATTTTTTTTGCCACGGGGTGCATGCACCCATTGGAGAGAGACACAGAGAGATACAGAAAGGAAAGTGAGAAATCACCCTTGGGATTTTACACACATGTGCATGCATCCAGTGTGTTTTCCAAGCCACTAGGTCTGAGACTCATACTGCAGAGTCAGCCAAGCAGAATCCAGTGCTTTAATCTCCATGCTACCTGCTGCCTGTCCCCCTTAATATTGATTTTTTTTTTAAAATTTTGGTAGAGGGTATGTGTGCTCACTAGAGAAAGACAGAGAAAGTAAGGCAAAGTAAAAAAAAAAAAGCACATCTCATTGGAATGGTCATGCTGTAATCTCTTCTCCATTTCTCCTTTTGAGATTTTGAGAATGCACACAGGTACATGCACCTGGCTTTTTTTTTTTTTTTTTAGGTTTTTGCCATAGGACGTATGCACTCATTGGAGAGAGACAGTGTGAGGGAAAGTGAGCAATCAACCCCCGAAGGGGAACGGCCATGCCACAATCCCTTCTGCTCCATTCTGCTTCTGGCATTTTGGGCATGCACGCACATATGCCCTCCCCCATATCATTTTCAAACCACAGGATCCAAGACTTGAACCATGACTGGCCATGTGGGTGTCTAGCACCTTAATCACCATGTTACTTGCTGGCCCCTACCATGTTTAAGCCTCTGGGTCCAGGAATTAAAATGTGCAGTCGGCCATGTGGGATCTAGCCACCTTAACCACCATGCCCTGGCTGGCCCTGAATTTTATTTTTTAATTACTGAATACTTATAGCCATGTCTCTAAAATTTTAAAGAAAGAAACCTGGGGGTTGGCCCCCCTTGGCCTAAAGGATTAGGCAGCCAGATTCCATATGGCTGACTACATGGTTCAAATTCCAACCCTGGTAGTTTGAAAAACACACTGGGCATGTGTGTATGTGTGCCCCAAATCCCAACAGGATGGAGACATGGAAGAGAAGGTATGGTGGCATGACCATGCCCCATGTGGGGGTGCTTCCTTCCTTTCCCCTTCTCTCTCTCTCTCCCTGGCAAGTGCACACACCCTCTGACAATGAAGAAAAAGAAAGGAAGGAAGGAATTTCTGGATATACTTAAAAGCTCCAGGGTAACTGTCACAAAATCAGCAAGAAAGATATCACAGATATGAGGATAAACAAGTGGTTATCATGTTAGAAATGTCTGAGGTTTTCTTAGATGTTCAATACTACCTTTCTCTTGGGACCAGCAGTTAGCGTGATGGCTATGTTGCTGGACTCCCATGTAGCCAACAGCGGTTCGTGTCCCAGACCCGCTGGCTTAAAACTCACGCCAGGCGTGTGTGCGTGCGTGCCCAGGATCCCAAGAGGAGAACGAAGGAGAAGGGACTGCGGCGTGGCCATCCCCCCTGGGGGGGGTGATTTCTCACTTTCTATATATATATATATATATTACCTTTCTCTTTGTAGCTTTGTAATTTTCTAACAGTTTTTTTTTTTAAATGACTAGTTATGGAAGGCAGCAAATAAAACTTCGTCTTGTGTTTTCTTTTTAAGTTCTGTAGGAGAGCGTATGTACTAGTCAGAGACAGGGAGAGGAAAAAAGCACCTCTCAGTCGGGTGTGGTCACACCACACCCTTTTTCCTCCATTTTGCCATTCTTCTGGGATTTGAGGAATGCAGGCACCTGTGTCTGGTGTGTTTGTCAAGCCACCGGGTCTGGGATTTGAGCCATGTAGTTGTTCCTATGGGATTTGGCTTCCTTAACCACTAGGCCAGAGGTGTCCCCAGATAAAACTTTAAAAGATCACTTTTTTTTCCCCTTTCAAATTGTCTGAGGTCGCCTGCATGTACAGAAAGAAAAAGGGATAGGAAGAAAGCACTCTCTAGTGGGGCATGGTTGCACTGCAATCCCTTCTCTATTTCTTCATCCTTTCCAGATTTTAGGTGTGTACATACATGCCCAGGGGTGTTTTTAAAGCTGGCTGGTCTGGGATTTGAACCATAGTCAGGTATGTGGGATTCAGATTCTCCAACCACCAGGCTCCAAGCTCAGCCCTAAAGGTCATATTTAATAGTTTTCAGTTAAATATACCTCTGATTTGATACTCTATTTCTCATTTCTTTATACTGGTTTCTCTAGCAAGCAGAAAACATGCAGAGCTCAGATGAAATTAAAGAATGACAGCTTCTTCTGTAAGTTTGCATTTAAAAGAAAAAACAACAACAAAAAACTTTGGGCTACCAGTGGTATGGTGGTTGGGGCAGCTGGATTACACATGGCCTACTGAATGGCTCGAGTCCCAGACCTGGCGACTGGAGAAACACGTGTGCATGCAGGGCCAAAATAACCAGAGAATGGAGGAAAAGGGATTTTGGTGTGGTCACCCCACCTCTGGGGGCTTTCTCACTCTCTCTCTTTCTGTCTCTCTCCAGCAAGCATGCTACCCTGTGGCAAATTAAAACAACACACACACACACACACACACACACACACACACACACACAAACTTCAAGAACAGAAAACAACAGGGTAACTACTGATGTACCAAATATCTAGATATAATAGAAGTCAGTACTATGCCTTCCTTTCTTTAAAGTTAACACATATTAAGGAAGAGGAAGCAGGAAATAAAAATAACAATTAAAACTCACGCAAATAAACATTCCTTAGGCAAGACTCTGTAACTCAACAGGTTTAGACAGTGGTGTGGGCATTTTGTTTTTCAATGATGACCTCAGCTTCACTTGGCGACACAGAAGAAAATCCACTTGCTTAAAAGTATTGATATAATAGCCACATAGACAGAGACCACACAAGTACCAGGGATAGAAATGTAACAAAAGAAATCACATAAATACTAGTAGTCATTTCCAAAATATATGGTACACAGATTTGTATGGCTTTTGGGATGTAGAAATTATTTAAAAGTTAGCAAGATAAGACGTATATTTTTTCCAGAATTTAACATTATTATTGTTATATTTTTTAACTTTTTAATATATTTTCTAATTTCAAGAAAAGCAGTTTTAGCTTTAATAAATCAAAATCAAAGAAATGCTAAGAGAGTTTTGCTTAAAACTCAAAGCCAGGAAACAGGTTAGGATTCTGTTCAAATAGTAGGTACATGAATCTATCAATAGCTCAAGACAAGACAAAAATCCTTAAATCTGAAAACAAAGCCTAGAAGAAAATCAGTAATGTTTTAGTAAAAAGTCATAAGATTCTATTTCACCAGTTCAGTCTCATGTACTTAATCTATCTTCTGTTGTGGTCTGATTTTCCCAATTCAATTCTGGGATATAATATTCAACTCCAGACTTATTCCTACCATTAAGTTGGCCATTTTCTTAGTTGTTTTTGAACTCTTATTTCTGGGTGCCTATATTTAGTTTTCCTGGTATAGCACTCCCTTTAGAACTTCCTGGAGAGCGGGTCTGGTGTTGGTAAATTCTTTCAAGTTCTGTTTATCTGAGAATGTCCTTGTCTTTTCTCCCCACATGAAGGATAATCTTGCCGGGTACAGTATTCTTGGTTGAAACTGCTTTTCCCTTAACATTTTGAATATATTTTCCCATTCTTTCCTCGCTCGCATTATTTCTGATGGGAGGTTCCCTGTTAGCCTGATGAGATATTCTTTGTAGGTAACTTGATGTTTCTTTCTTGGCTTGTCTTTGTGTATGGTTTTGGTCAATCTGGCTATAATGTATCTTGGATATCTTCTTGGGTTGATTCTATTTGGGGTCTTTTGTATTTCTTGGGACTGGATCTTTGAATGCCTCTCTAGGTTTGGAAAGTTTTCTTCCAGGATTTCATGGAATAGATTATTAATGCCCTTATGAGTCTCTTCACCTTCTGGGATGCCAATTATCCAGATCTGGACGTTTGATGGTATCTAGTATTTCTCGTATATTATTCTGATTTGGGGAGGCAATTTTCTCAGTCTTCATGGTAGATTTTTCTAGGCCAGTGATTCTATCTTCTACATTTGAGATTTGATTTTCTGTATGATCTAGTCTGCTTTTAATACTTTCAAGGGAGGTTCTGACTTCCTGTATTATTGCCTTTGTCTCTAACAGTTTCATTTGATTCTTTTTCATGATGTGTATTTCCTCTTTCAGATTTCGCAAGAACTTCACCTCCTGGAACTCATCGGCTCCCTTCTCCTGCCTCTTCTGCAGTTCACTGTCTCTCTTCTCTTCCATCTGTTAGCTCTGTCACTATGAATTTTATAAATTCTTTATCTGACATTTCTGTGAGTTCCATTGTACCATCTGAGGATGAAGAAGAGTTATTCTTTTCCCTTGAAGGAGAGGTATTTTCTTGCTTTCTCATGTTTTTTCCCTGTGGTGATTTCTGGTCATCTGATGGATGGTGCATTGCTTCCTAAATCCTGAAGCTCAATCTGAGCTTTCAGAGGTGTGCAGGAGGAAGTGACCTGCAATATCTCTTCCGTTCAGTTTTTCACTCTTTGTGCGTCAGATTCAGTGGGAATTGAGGAATATTCTGACCCTAATTACATTCAGATGTTTGGATACTGTTCACTTTGACCTGTCTAGACACTTAGTGCGTGGAGGTTGAGCAGCCAAGGAATGAAGTTAAAAGAAAAAGAATTAGAGAAGAGCAAAGAAGAAAAAAAAAATAAAAGAAAAAATATGAAGAAAAAAAAGACAATAAGAAATTTTGTATTTTAATTTTAAAAAGCAAAAAATGAAAACCCCGTGGCACGCGCACACTAGCCATCTCAGGATGGGCTTGGGTTTGTGTCTCTCCTAAATGGGAAGGGAAAGGCACCAATTAGCATAATAAAGGAGGGGCTTGAGAGCCCAGAGAATACTTTACCTTAAAAAACAAAATTAAAAACACAGGGAGACAGAGAGAGATGGAGAGAAGGATACAGAGGTAGCCCTACCCACTAGAAACGAATCTAGAGGGAGAAATCTCAGCAGATGATGTTCATTTTTAGGCCCTGAAAGCAATATTTCACAACTCAAGTTCAGTAGCCATCTCAGGATGGTATTATTATTATTGTTTTTTTGAGAGGTTTTCGCTATAGGGTGCGTGCGCTCGCCAGAGAGAGACATAGAGATAGAAAGTGAGAAATCACCCCCCAGGGGGGATGGACAGTAGCAATCCCTTCTCCATTCTCCTCTCCGGATCTTGGGCACGCACACACACACGCCCGGTGTGAGTTTTAAGCCACTGGGTCCAGGACATGAACCGCGGTCGACTATGTGGAAGTCCAGCGACATAGCCATTACGCTAACTGCTGGTTCCCGTTATATTTTTAATTTAACCAGAGAGAGACAGTGACAGAGACAGAAAGAAAGTAAGAAAGCAAGCCATCAGTTCCAGAACTTGAACTGCAGTTGGCCATGTGGGAGTCCAGTGCCCTCAAACACCACACTACCTGCTGGTCCCAAGATGTACACTACTTTTTAAAAATTTTTTTGAGAGATTTTTGCAATAGGGTATGTGCACTTGCCGGAGAAACAGAAAACGAGAAATCACCCATGGGGAGATGGCCACACCACAATCCCTTCTCCATTCTCTTCTAGGGGTTTTGGGCACATGCACACATGTGCCCAGTGTGAGTTTCAAGCTGCTGGGTCCAGGACTCACACCTGATTTGCTATGTGGGAATGCTTAACCATCATGCCCCCCAAGATGTACATTCTTAAAAAAAAAAAAAAATTTTACATTCTACACTGAGTTTGTTTCTTTGCCTTTTTCTTTTTATTTTTTAGAGTGTAGTGCTAGTTATGATTGGAAGGGACACTCAGATCCACCTACACAGGTAAATGCAGTACTTTATGATATAACCATATTAGATATCCAGCACCTAGGACTGGGCCTGGTATAGCATAGATGCCCAACATATGTTATGCAAAGGAGTAAGCAAAAAGCTAGTGTACAGTTTATAAAAAGATGAAATTAGTAAGGACTCATTCATTTTAATTATTAAATATATATATATATAGCATATATACATATAACTATGCATTATATATATATATATATACACATACACATATATATATATACACACACACACACATATGTGTCTTCATTATAAAACGGATTAGACATGGTTCATACAGCAATTTGCCACAATAGTTATTCTACCCCTCCTATCAATAGCAACCAGTAAAATTATCGTTTTGTCACGATAATGTCAAGTGACAAAAATGGATTGCTAAGTATAATGTAGAAATTAACTGGGGCCGGCAGGTGGCATGGTGGTTAAGGATGCTGGACTCCCACATGGCCAACTGTGGTTTGAGCCCCAGACCTGGCAGCTTGCTTTCTCACTTTACCTCTCTCTTGCTCTGTCCCTCTCTGGTCACATTTAATTAATTAATTAAGGTAAGAAAGATAATTCCTTAAAAAAAAAAACACAAAAGAAATTAACTTTGGGTTGGGACCAGCAGTTAGCATAATGGCTATGTCACTGAACTCCCATGTAGTTGACCGCGGTTCAAGTCCCAGACCCAGAGGCTTAAACTCACGCCGGGCATGTGTGCGGGGCGTGCCCAAGATCCCAAGAGAAGAATGAAGGAAAAGGGATTGCAGCTTGGCCATCCCCCTAGGAGGTGATTTCTCACTTTCTGTCTCTCTGTCTCTCTCTGTCTTTCTGGTGAGCGCACGCACCCTATAGCAAAAAATAAAAACCTCTCCAAGAAAAAAAAATTAACTTTGGGAATAGAATCTGGTTTGCTCTACCAACATTTATTCATTCATTCATTCATTCATTCATTCATTCAAGCTATCATCTTAAAAAATATGAGGGAAATCAGCAGACGGCCTAACAGTGACAAGGCTGGAGTCCACACGTAGTTGACTGTTGTTCGAGTCCTGGATCTGGCGGTTTAAAACTCATGCTGTGCACGTGTGCATGTGTGTCAAAGATCCCAAGTAGGGAATGGAGGAGAAGGGACTGCAGCTTGGTCATCCCCTCTGAGGGAAAATTTCTCACTTTTCGTTTCTCCGTCTGTCCAACAAGTGCATGCATCCTATAGCAAAACACTCTCTCTCAAAAAAAAAAAAGATGAAATAACATAAAAATTAGACCCTCAAAAGCCTTTTATACATCTATGTGTGTGTTTTTGTGTGTTTATATAAAATAAGAACATACAATGATGTGTCTCATTACAATTTTAAGTTGAGCCTAACTTTTTCTTTTTTTTAAAGAGATTTTTGTTATAAGGCACATGTACTTGCCAGAGAGACAGAGACAGAAAGCAAGAAAGCACCCTCAGAGGGAATGGTCATGCCACCATCCCTTCTCCTCCTGTTCCTCTTGGGATTTTGAGCATGAACACACAGCACCCAGCGTGAGGTTTAAGCACCAGGTCTGAGACTCTAACTGCAGTCAACTACATGGGAGTCCAATGATGAAACCATTACACCATCTGCTGGTCCCAAGCCTAACCTTTTACTGATTTTTCAAGGAAAATGTTTCCTTGGTATAATATAAAAATAAGAATCAGGAAAAGTTAGAGACAGTATATCTAATCAAATTCCATCACAAAGTTCCATGTGTTTGGACAGGTATGCTGTGGGGAGGAAATATCCTTTGAAATATAACAACATACAAGAACACCTCAAATAAATGGTTGGCCTACTACTACAGAGGTTGTTGGCATCTGTGACAGTAAGGGGGTACCCTGGTAACCATGTCAACACTTCTTACCCTGGAGACCTGTGCACAACGGCATAAAGTAACAACGTCCAGAAAAGAAAATATCCTAAAAAGGAAAAAGAGGGAAACAAACTTTATTATATGGTAAAGCAGTGTCTCCTAATTTTAGCTTACAAATAATTATGTACACATACACACACACATACACAAAGGCATAAATTCTTTCAAACACAAAAACTTGCAAAGCAACTTACAAAGATAATACTGCACATATAACCACAACAGAGAAAGTACTCTTTTACCGGATAATGTGTAAACAAGTGTTTGTATACAAGTTCCAATACTTACCTGAGGGATGATAAGAGATTTCTAACTGATAAAACTTTTTAAGGGAGAAAACAATTTTCCCACCTTCAGTTATCAAAACCAAAAAGAAAGAATAGTGGGGACCAGCAGATGGTGAAATGGTTATGTCTTTGGACTCCCATGTAGTTGACCATGGCTCACGTCCCGTACCCGGTGGCTTAAAACTCATGCCAGGCACGTGTGCATGACCAAGATCCCAAGAAAATGGAGAAGAGATTGCAGTGTGATCATCCCTCCTGGGGATGATTTCTCACTTTCTATCTCTGTCTCTGTCTCTCTGGTGAGTGCACACACCCTATAGCAGAAATCTCTATTAAAGAAAAAAAAAAGATAATGAAGGATACCTTTTTAAAATTTTCTAGGGGGTGCACATGCTCGCTGGAGACAGAAAGTGACAAAGCAGCCCTCATGGGATATGGTCACTCTGCAATCTCTTCTCCTCCATTTCTCCTTTAAAGATTTTGGGCACACACACATGTACTCAGAGTGCTTTTCAAAATGCCAGTTCTGCGGGACCAGCAGTTAGCATAATGGCTATGTCACTGGATTCCCATGTAGTCGAATGCAGTTCGAGTCCCAGACCTGGTGGCTAAACTCACGCTGGGCACGTGTGCACACATGCCTAAAATCCTGAGAGGAAAATGAAGGAGAAGGGATTGCAACGTGGCCATCTCCCCTGGGAGGTGATTTCTCACTTTCTGTCTCTCTGTCTCTATCTCTCTGGCACGCACACGCGCCCTATAGCAAAAACCTCTCCCTCCTAAAAAAAAAAGATGCCAGTTCTGGGACTAAGCTGTGAGGTTAGGGCTGGCAGGTGGTGTGGTAGTTAAAGGCACTGGACTCCCACATGGCCAAGTGCGGGTCAAGTCCCAGACTTGCTTTCTCACTTTCCCTCTCTTTCTCTCTGTCTTTCTCTGGTCAGATTAAAAAATAAAAATAATAAATAAAGTTGAATAAAATAACTATTTGAGAAAAAAATTGTGGAGTTGGTTGTGTGGGATTCAGCTACCTTAACTACCACACAACAGCTGACTGAGGAGGTATACCTTTATAAGGAATTTTGCAAGAAGAAAAAGAGTATAACAAGATGTAAAAAACCACAACCATAGGGACCAGCAGGTGGTGTGGTGGTTAAGGTGCTGGACACTCCCATGTGGCTGATCACGGTTTGAGTCCCAGACCTGGTGGCTTGCTTTCTCACTTTCTTTCTCCCTGGTCAAATTAAAATAAACAAGTGAATAAGTAAAATTAAAATAAATAAATCTTTAAAAAAAAAAAAACCACAACCATGAAACGTTAAACTCCATGTATAATTCTAACTTAGTCTATTATAAAACTCCTTTAATGCTTCAATATTAGAAAATATTTACAGACTAAAATTCTTTTCAGCTTGATAGAGGCTAAACAAATACTCATTTTTTTTTTTTTGGAGAGGTTTTTTTTTTTTTTTTTCCCTGCAATGGGGCACGTGCGCTCTCCAGACAGAGAGACATAGAGGCAGAAAGCGAGAAATCGCCCCCCAGGGGGGATGGTCATGCCGCAATCCCTTCTCCTCCATTCTCCTCTCGGGATCTTGGGCACTCACGCACACGTGCCCAGCATGAATTTTAAGCCACCTGGTCCGGGACGCAAACCGTGGTCGACTACATGGGAGTCCAGCGACATAGCCATTATGCTAACTGCTGGTTCCCAATGAATACTCATTTTGAAGTAGATCAGTAAGTTACTTGCTTAAATCCTGATAAACTATACCATAAGGTTCCTGTCCAAACAAGGAATTCGGGGAACAAAGTGAACAGACCACTAATGCTTGAAGTCCTCTTCACTCATGAACACCCTTAAAGGTCATCTCAATGTGGATGACAAACTGAGCTCTCCCGCAAGTGGTAAAAAGTACAATAGGAATGTGCTTTAAAGACTGAAGTGGATTAAAGTTAATTTTGTCTTAAGAATTTTATGGCATCCTTTGAGATAACTGAAGATACCAGGAAAGTTACAAAATGGAGGTCAGAAAATAATCTGAAGAAGGCAGGCTAGATTTTTGATTCCATAGTTACCCTAAGTACAAAAAACTTCTACATCACCTAGAAAAATCAACATTTTGTTGTTCAGTTATCAGTCACACTTTAGAACTTAGAATAGTTGGGCTAATTATTACATCAGATTAAAAAACTGCACATTTTATAAATATTTTCAGTTTTTAAAAAACTTGAGGGGCTGGCAGGTGGTGTGGTGGATAAGGTACTCAATTCCCACATGGCCAACCAGTGTTCAAGTTCTGGACCTGGCAGTTTGCATTCTCTACCACCCCACCTGTCTCTCTCTGGTCATATTAAAAAATAAATTAAATAAAAAGTAATTCTAAAAAAACCCAACTTTGTTTAGGTAAATTATACATAAAATTTACTATTTTAACCTTTTAAAAAAATTTTTTTTATGGCAAAGCAAGACTGGTGGTCTTTATCTGGTGGTGCCAAAAAATGCTATACCAGGAACCAGCAGTTAGCGTAATGGCTATGCCGCTGGACTCCCACATAGTCGACCGCGGTTCGCGTCCTGGACCCAGTGGCTTAAAACTCAGGCTGGGTGCGTGTGCGTGCGTGCCCAAAATCCCGAGAGGAGAATGGAGGAGAAGGGATTGCGGCGTGACCATCCCCCCTGGGAGGTGATTTCTGGCTTTCTGTCTCTATGCCTCTGTCTGGCGATCACAGACGTCCTATAGCATAAACCTCTCAAAAAAAAAAAAAAAAGCTATACTGAAGCCTGAAAAGTACTTCAGCCAGACAGCGTCAAATTCTTTCTCTTCCTTTGTATGATGAAGAGCAGGGACGAACCAAACGTAGTCTCCCACTACCACAAATCATGCAGTCTAACTTCCCGCTTTTAGGGGAAATCGTAGAGATCAGCAATGGATGGGCTTCACCTTGGGTAAAACCACCTATGATGTCTCCCCTGCCGGGTATTATTTTAACCATTTTAAAGTGGAAATATTTAGACTAATTAAGTTCATTAGCAAATCAATTAAATGGGGGGAAAGGCATATAAAGCAACCATGGATACCAGAGACAATGTGGGAGGTGGGTGGGACATGGCAGAGGGTGAGAGAAAGGGAATCAAGGATTGCAAAAACAAAAACTATACAAGACATAAGACACATGCCCAGCATGAATTTTAAGCCACCTGGTCCGGGACGCAAACCGTGGTCGACTACATGGGAGTCCAGCGACATAGCCATTATGCTAACTGCTGGTTCCCAATGAATACTCATTTTGAAGTAGATCAGTAAGTTACTTGCTTAAATCCTGATAAACTATACCATAAGGTTCCTGTCCAAACAAGGAATTCGGGGAACAAAGTGAACAGACCACTAATGCTTGAAGTCCTCTTCACTCATGAACACCCTTAAAGGTCATCTCAATGTGGATGACAAACTGAGCTCTCCCGCAAGTGGTAAAAAGTACAATAGGAATGTGCTTTAAAGACTGAAGTGGATTAAAGTTAATTTTGTCTTAAGAATTTTATGGCATCCTTTGAGATAACTGAAGATACCAGGAAAGTTACAAAATGGAGGTCAGAAAATAATCTGAAGAAGGCAGGCTAGATTTTTGATTCCATAGTTACCCTAAGTACAAAAAACTTCTACATCACCTAGAAAAATCAACATTTTGTTGTTCAGTTATCAGTCACACTTTAGAACTTAGAATAGTTGGGCTAATTATTACATCAGATTAAAAAACTGCACATTTTATAAATATTTTCAGTTTTTAAAAAACTTGAGGGGCTGGCAGGTGGTGTGGTGGATAAGGTACTCAATTCCCACATGGCCAACCAGTGTTCAAGTTCTGGACCTGGCAGTTTGCATTCTCTACCACCCCACCTGTCTCTCTCTGGTCATATTAAAAAATAAATTAAATAAAAAGTAATTCTAAAAAAACCCAACTTTGTTTAGGTAAATTATACATAAAATTTACTATTTTAACCTTTTAAAAAAATTTTTTTTATGGCAAAGCAAGACTGGTGGTCTTTATCTGGTGGTGCCAAAAAATGCTATACCAGGAACCAGCAGTTAGCGTAATGGCTATGCCGCTGGACTCCCACATAGTCGACCGCGGTTCGCGTCCTGGACCCAGTGGCTTAAAACTCAGGCTGGGTGCGTGTGCGTGCGTGCCCAAAATCCCGAGAGGAGAATGGAGGAGAAGGGATTGCGGCGTGACCATCCCCCCTGGGAGGTGATTTCTGGCTTTCTGTCTCTATGCCTCTGTCTGGCGATCACAGACGTCCTATAGCATAAACCTCTCAAAAAAAAAAAAAAAAGCTATACTGAAGACTGAAAAGTACTTCAGCCAGACAGCGTCAAATTCTTTCTCTTCCTTTGTATGATGAAGAGCAGGGACGAACCAAACGTAGTCTCCCACTACCACAAATCATGCAGTCTAACTTCCCGCTTTTAGGGGAAATCGTAGAGATCAGCAATGGATGGGCTTCACCTTGGGTAAAACCACCTATGATGTCTCCCCTGCCGGGTATTATTTTAACCATTTTAAAGTGGAAATATTTAGACTAATTAAGTTCATTAGCAAATCAATTAAATGGGGGGAAAGGCATATAAAGCAACCATGGATACCAGAGACAATGTGGGAGGTGGGTGGGACATGGCAGAGGGTGAGAGAAAGGGAATCAAGGATTGCAAAAACAAAAACTATACAAGACATAAGAAATGGAAAATTACTTGCTGATAAC